CCAAGAATAAATAAAGATGACTAAATGATGTGAAATCAAATTTGGCAACCAAGCCAGTGCAGTAATGCTGTTGATGACAATGAAAATTTTAATAATGACAATTCAGGTAGACAACTGACAAATATCATGGATTACCTTTTTCAAGAAGAACAATGTACACAGGGCTGGGAGAAATTAATTTATGTAACTACTGTCCTATCCTTAAAAAGATGGTTTCCAACAGAAAGGTGTGCCAACATTGATGTGAAAGTCACCGTGATTTGACTACTGACCAGTAGAAAGGTTTTATGTGGTAATGATCTTGATACCTGCTATACTGTATAGACACGAAGGTCAAAGTTCAGTAGCAGCCCCATGATCTTTGGAAACTATTGTTTCTACTTGTAAGCTGCTGGAGGTGGTGTGATGATGCCTTTTCATGGCATGGAATAGGGTGGGTCCTTTGATCTTTCTGAATGGTCACATTTGATTTGGGGGGGGGGGATTAAGTTTTATGCTTTCATTGTATCCTTAACATAGTGAATATTTTCAAGACAATGCCACCATTCCAGTACTATTCACGATTGGTTTGATGAACATCAAGAAGAGTTCCGCCATCTTGCCAATTTTGCAGAAAAAGTCTTATGCCCCAAAACATGGAATGAAAGTTCTGATTTTTCTGGGAAACAATTAGAACTGGTACACACATGCATTCTTCCATGTATGCAACCTATGAGTGATGTGCTACAGGCTGTAAGTGTAAGAGTGGTCTGATCTCTGTAAGAGACATCTTTTACATCTAATTATGTTCACAGTTGTTTTTTTTCATTCTAGGCTGTGTCCGCCCACTGCAAGGTATAGCCCTCCACCAAAGACATCCAAGTCTGTCTATATGCTGCTTTCCTTGGCCATGTGACACCAACTTTCTCTACTATATCACCATGCCATCTTTTGTGTGATCTACCTCTTGATCTCTTCCCTCTGCAGGGCTGCCATTCTGTGATTCTTTTCATCCATCTATTGTCTTTTAATTGAGCGATCTGTCTGGCCCATTTCCATCTTGCAATATACTTGGAGATGTCTCTTACCCCGGTATTTCTTCTGGTCTCTGAGCACAGAATTGTATCCTGGAGCTTGATCTTTAGCATCTTACTTTCTATTGCTCTTTGTTGTGTTGTCTGCAATCTTAAGATAAGGTCTCTTACCCCGGTATTTCCAATAGAAAGTAAGATGCTAAAGATCAAGCTCCAGGATACAATTCTGTGCTCAGAGACCAGAACTCTTTGTTGTGTTGTCTGCAATCTTAAGATAAGGTCTCTTACCCCGGTATTCCTTCTGGTCTCTGAGCACAGAATTGTATCCTGGAACTTCATCTTTAGCATCTTACTTTCTATTGTTCTTTGTGTTGTCTGCAATCTTAAGATAAGCTGTTTAGTGAGTGTCCAAGTTTGACATCCATGTGTCAAGATTGGTAAAACACATTGGCCAAATACTCTTCTTTTGAGGGTTATTGGTAGTTTATTATCTTGAGAAATCCCTCGGTACTTCCCATATCAGCTCCAGCCAGCTTTTATTCTCATATTTATTTCCTCTTTTGTTGTATTTTTCATGTAGGTTGTTGTTCCAACATATTTGTAATTGTTTGTTACTTTCATTTTCTAATTTGATTTCACGGTTGTCATCTAAGTTTGTCTTATATTTTGTTTTCCCTTTATATATTTTAAGGCAAATTTTTGTGCTCTATTCATTCAATGCGAGAAATTGATGTTCCATCTGTTGTGTGTTCTCCGTACATAAAGCCACATCATCTGCGAACCTGAGGTCTGTTAGTTCTTCTCCGTCTATATTGATGCCATGTTCCTCTAGCTTTTATCGTTTAAAAACTTCTTGTAATGTTGCTGTAAATAGCTTAGGAGATATAGGGTCTCCTTGTCTTACGTCTCTGCCAATCAAGAAATTGTGGGATACGTGATTATCCAGGTGGATTCTTACTGTTGTGTCAGTGTAAATGTCTTCCAGGATGTTTATATATACTTCATTTATTCTACCTTTTCGCTGAACTTCAAAGATGGCATAGTGCTCAACCGAGTCAAATGTCTTTTTCTGGTCCGATGCAAAGTGGTAGATTAAATTCCTTTGAATTTTTGATAATCTGATTTAACGTACATAGGTGGTCAACAGTAAAGAACCCTTTCTAAAGCCGGCTTATTCTCTTGGTTGATTCTCTTCTAATATCATTTCTATTCTGGCTTGAAGAATTCATGTAAATATTTCATATATATGTGACAGTAGACTGATAGGTCTATAATTCCTTATATCTTTGGGGTCACCCTTCTTGAAAAGAGCAATGGCTTTGCTTCTTTCCAGCTGGGTACTTTTCTTGATAGTAGTATTTCTTTATATATGCTGGTTAAATAACTCAGTACTTCCTTGCCACCTAGTATAAGTACGTCACTCATTATCCCACCTATCCCTCTTCTTTATTTGTTTCATTGCTCTTTCCACTTCATGCTCAGTTATTGGTGGTACTTGCTCTGTGTCTGGACTTGTTTTTACTGTGTTTGTCTAGTTGGTGACTGTTGACCAGTACAAATTTTTGTAGAAGTTGGAACAAATTCCCAACACTTCTGTTCTTTCTGATGTGATCTTCCCTGATGACTTCTTCATTTTTGTGATTTTTTTTGGTAGGTTTACATGTCAAATATCGTGTAATATATGTATTATTTATTGAATATAGAAATATATCCACATCCTCAGAATGTTAACATAGAATGTTATGAATTTTTATATATTTCTATTTTACAATAGTTTTTTCTGTTTACCATAACAAACTAAAAAGTGGTATCAAACATACATTTAAATGTATAGATTATGGTAATACATATATGAGGAAACAAATGGTCATTACCCTTCCCCCCCACCATTGCTGTTCGTTTCTGGCTAAACAAATTCCAAATGTTGAAAAATCTTGATCATACAATCCATTACCTTTGACCATGAAATATTTCAAGTCAATAATGCTTGAGGAATGAATTGAAATTGAGTACAATGTACTTTAGAAGCTAACTAAAATCTATGTCATGATGTATTCAGGCTAGCATCAAAGTACACAATGGTCCATTATATTATTATAATGGGGGTTTCTAGTTTTTGCTTAGGCTTTGCAAGACTCTAACATTGGCATATTTATTAATACATAAAACTATACAGCTAAATGTTCTTACCTTAATAAACAATACTTCACCAATGTGTGCCTTAAATATAACATTTTTGTTATCCCACGCTTGATTTTCATCCTTCAAGACCTTGCCTTTTGTTTTCCATTTTTGATGAGCATTCTTAATTGTAACTTCAAAAACGTCTCCTGCACATAAACGTGCAAAGCCTTGTATGCCTTTACAAAAAATAATTTGACATTAGTTACAATTAAAAAAACTCGGTAGCACATACTTGTTATTATTCTTAAAAAAACATCATCTGTCACCGTAACAGATTTCCTGCACATAACCTTGGATACCTCCACACAAAAATATGAAAGTATTCTTTACAGTTGTGATACAAATCTGTTCAAAACATATTATTTGATTAAACCACTTAAAGATTTTTATTTCTGTTATGGTTAATTTTTAATCTATTAATAGCTATTTGAAAAAAACGGCAACTCTAGCATTGTTAGAAAAATTGTGAAAATAGTTTTTACTCATCTTTAACAGAATTTGCTCGTTACCCATAAGATAAAATCCATTAAAGTAAGAAGCATTTCTGTTGTTATTAATATTAAGAATTACTCTATCAACGATGTACTTCTTACAGTGTAATTGTAAGATTATGGCAATGAATTATTTTTATGTTTTTATTGTGAATAGGCTATGTTAAAAAGCAAAGATGCAATAAAAACTCTGGCTTATCTAAAACTCGTCTAAATTCAGCAGTGTGTAGCAAACATAGCAATAAAAATTATTTTGAATGTTTGAAGCCATTAAATTGATAATTGTATCATATGCAATAAACCAAAACAAATAAGCCATGAAACTGTTCAATTATCTCAACAAACACTGAACCTTTTTCTTTAATGTTTATATACAACTAGCACTTAAGATTTAACACTTAGCCATACTTAAGAATAGCTTATCTTTGACATATTTTGATATGTTATGCTCAACAATAACCTATAATTTACATATCAAAAATAAGAAAAATTATTTTGACCACTATATGGTTATGTCATTTATTATCAGGTATGTAAAGGTTACTGGTAGATTTTGTAGCCATAAAATAGTATTGTGGTTTTTATATTGTGTTATTATGATTTGTAAGTTTCACCAACACAAGGTACAAAATTACTCTGTAATTCATCTAACTTTACCAATGGACATTCAGCTACCCATGAATTCAATGACACAAAACATACAAATAGTTTAACAAGTTTGTTATCCAAATCGACTTTAAATCACAACTGCTTAGTTTCACATACACAATCAAGCATATCACACGTATACCAGTGCAAAGATATCTCAAAAGTAAATAGACACCATGATTTTTTCAATAATCATTTATTTCACATTATCAACTTGACAAAAATGTTTACAAATGTGCATCAATACTTAGTCGATTTGCCACTAGCATTTTTCAGTGCTTTGACTCGTTCTGGCATGGAATCGATGAGTCATTTTT